CAAGAACCTACTGACGTTTGAAAAGGCATTATTATCTGTTCCTCCCTGAAATGTAGGACTTTTTTTATGTTGCATGAGTGATTCTTGGCTGTAAGAATGTGTCATGAGATTTATAATCGCAGTCAAGAAAACAGCATGTCTAGCGGCCACTCTGGATTCATCTTTGTTTCTCAAAGTTCTCATGCTGAAATTGTTCCATTGCCTCGGGTGGAAATATGCATTAACCATATGAGCATGTGTGTGGAGGCTGGGGCGGGGGCGTGGGGCGACAGCCCCGGCTGCACTGGGGACCCCGGGCTGAGCGGTTCCGTTGCAGAATGGCGCTTCAGAGCCCGTGCCCACAGCGGGCCTGCTCGCACTTTGCCCCGGGCCCGGGCGGGAGCAGAAAGAGTGCTGGCTTTTTCCCAGTCGGCGTGGCTCAGTGGTTGAACATTGACCCATGAACCAGGAGATCACTGTTGATTCCAAGTCAGGGCGCAGGCCCGGGTTGATCCTCAGTAGGGGCGTGCAGGAGGCAACTGGTCAATGATTCTCTCTCATCATTAACGTTTCTATTTCTCTCCTTCTCCCTTTCCCTCCCTGAAATCAATGAAAACATATTTTTTTTTTTTAAAAAAAAAAAAAAAGGACTCAGGCTTTGGAATCAGACTGGAGAGGTCGGCTGCCATGTTGGGGTGACCCACTTAACTTTCCTGAGCTCCGGCTGCCCCCGTGGTAACATGGGGAGGGTAATGCCCAGCTGAAGGTGTTGCTCTAAAGGTTCAGTGAATGAGCAGATGCCAAGGGCCTGCCCTGTGCCAGGCCTCCCTTCACTTCCTGAAATGGCAAACTTTTCCACGTTCTGACTCTTGCTTATGTCGGCTGGGAATAGAGTCATCAACTCTGTTAGCGGCACTGGCCCTCGGTCAAGTATGTCCGACACCGGTTACCCTCAGGGCCCTGCTGCTTGTGTCTTGCGACTTGCCTCTCGTCCACTGGGGCCTTTCCCTGTCCCAGGCATGTGAGGAAGCCCAAAGCAGCCAGTCCCCTGCCCACCACACCCATAAAGACACTCAGAAGATGGAGACAGTCGGTGTACTGCTTATACATACAGGTGGACAAAGTGGACCGCAACAGAAAGGGGCCTTAGCAGCCATTTAAAGAAATGGCAAACCTCAATTCTTAAATCTATACTAATAATAGAGGAATATGCAAATTCTCTGGGGACCCCATAACGTCACTACCAATCAGGACGGGGGCGGGGCCACAGCGGAGAGCTCTCAGCATGCCTGTGCTGGGGGTTCGAAGGGCGTGGAGAGGAAGGGAGAGCAGACAGGCAGTTAGGGGGATCAGGCCAGGAGGGGAGAACAGTTAGGGGGATCAGGCCAGCAGGGGAGAGCAGTTAGGGCCATCAAGCTGGCAGGTGAGCCGTTAGGAGCCAGTGGTTCCAGATTTCGAGAGGGGTCCCGGATTGGAGCGGGTGCAGGCTGGGCTGAGGAACCCCCCACCCCATACACGAATTTTGTGCACCAGGCCTCTAGGTTATTAATAAAAGCCCAACAACCCAAAACAACAACCAAAAGGTCAAAACTGGCAAAGGTGCACAGAGGCAGCACGGAACAGGCAAATGGATGCAGGTAATAAAAATGCAAAAGCTGTGCCTTCTCTCTGGTAATCCAGAAAATGTAAATGAAAGCGACAATGAGACGCAGTTTGTGCCCAGCAGACTGGCCGAGATTTAAAAGCCTGAGGACGCAGGGGGCTGGTCAGGCTGTGAGGTTGGCGGGAGCTCTCGGGCATGGCTGGGAAGGTGTACGTTTCTGCCGGCCTCTGAAGGTGGCATTGAAGGAGGGCTCTCCTTGTGCCCAGGAGACCCATGTGCAGATGGTCACTGGAGATGGTTCGTAACAGCAAGAGCCTGCTGGTGATGCAGATATCTGGGGGGCACATGACCCAAGATTTGGTAGAGAGTACAATGGGACTGGAAAGGAGAAAGTCCCATTTAGTTATATATATATATATATATATATATATATATATATATATATATATTAATTTCAGAGAGGAAGGAAGAGGCAGAGAGCAGAGAGAGATAAACATCAATGATGAGAGTCATTGATCGGCTGCCTCCTGCACGCCCCACACTGGGGATGGAACGAGCAACCCATGCATGTGCCCTGACTGGGAATTGAACCGTGACCTCCTGGTTCGTAGGTCAATGCTCAACCACTAGCCATGCCTACTGGGATAGTTTTATCTTAATGTAACTTAAAAGAAAAGAAACCACGAAGTATTAACACTTTGTAGTTCTATTATCAGTGGTTCTAAAAGTGGTTTTTGTCCCTAGACCTCAGCATTTGGCGTCACTTGAGAACTTTTAGCGAAATAAATTCTCAGGCCCCAACCCAGACCTACTGAGTCGGACCCACCGGGGTGAGACCTGCAAGCTGAAATTTTAAATATGTCTTTTCAATTGATTTTAGAGAGAGAGGAAGGGAGAGGGAAAGAGAGAGACAGCCATTGGCTGCCTCCTGCACACCCCCTACTGGAGATCAAGCCCGAAACCTGGGCAGGTGCCCTATGGGGGACTTAAACCAGCCACCTCTTGGTTTATGGGAGGATGCCCAGCCAACTGAGCCACCCTGACCAGGTCACAGCTGAGTTTGAACACAGCCCTCATTACCATTGTTCTAGTTGACAACGACATGGTGTTTACCATCTTGTTCTCTGTGATTTTCTATATTTTTTAAATTAAAAACTGAAATAAACACAAGCTTTTCTTTTCCATTCTCCCCAAGTCCCTCTGGGCTGTGTTAACTTCATCACTAAAGGCTGATTAAGAGCACAGACTTATCACTGCCATGTAAGGCCTCGGGTTCGGGCAGATCTCTTAATATCAAGCCAAAGGCAGAGAGAAAGTGGGCAGATTTATTAACTCTTATTCAAATGTGGGTTGTCCAGTAAGTACATCAGCCTGAAAATTGTGGTCCCTCGGACACTTCTCCCTCGTCATCTACAACAAACAACCGGCATGGAGGGCGTCAGGACAGCACAGACCCCAGGCCACTTTGAGGGGCAACACCTACATCATGTCCTTGGGAAACAAGCTAGTTGGAGGGTGTGTGAGAAGATGAGGTGCAGGACCAGAAGGCCTGGCTGTCAGATGTCTGGCATTATGACTGCCACAGAGGACTCGGGGGGGTCTGTGGGCCGCTCTTTGGAAACTCGGCCTCTGTTGAGAGAGAGGAAGGTCATAGTTCAAAGAACCCCGTGAACAAAGGTCGCAGGATTCTAACTCAAAGGCCATGTAAGCGATCTCAGTGCACGTTGAGGGTGTGGAATCCATCTGCGATTTTTATCCTGGATGGATGGATGGATGGATGGATGGATGGATGGATGGATGGATGGATGGATGGATAGGTGGGTGGGTGGGTGGGTGGATGGGTGGACGGATGGATGGATGGATGAATGAATGGATGGATAGATGGGTGGGTGGATGGATGGATGGATGGATGGATGGATGGATGGATGGATGGATGGATTAGTGGATGGATGGATGGATGGATGGATGGATGGGTGGGTGGATGGGTGGATGGATGGATGGATGGATGAATCAATGGATGGATAGATGGGTGGATGGATGGATGGATGGATGGATGGATGGATGAATGGATGAATGGATGGATGGATGGATGGATGAGTGAGTGGGTGGATGAGTGGATGGATGGATGGGTAGAGCATTAAAACAGCTGAGTGATGGGGTAACTTGTATGCCCAAAGCAATGGCCCAGGAAGATAGGCCTGGCCTAGTGTCAGAGATGGACTAACGGCAGGAAAACCATCAGCAGTGAGATGTCAGGCTTCGAAGAGAATGAGGTTTCTCCGGTGAAGCAGATGCAGGATGGGGTGCGGAGGAGTGAGAAGGGAAGAGGATTGTGAGCAACTCTAATGGCCGTCTGAGTGCCGCTGCTGCTGTAGAAGTCTACCGGGCAGGTAGTGCCTCAGCACGAATGTGCCGTGGTATGGTTGGGAGGCCAGAGCGCAGCCAGGTTCTCCCTGGTGTGGGGGCTAACACCGGTGTGGGTGGGCTGTGCTCCCGTGCGGAGTCCGGGAGGAATCCTTCTCTTGCCTGCGGGCTGCCCACATCCCTGCAGCCCAGATCTTCCCATCTCTGATCGGCTATCCTGCCTCCTGCTCCAACACTGGGCCCCTCACCCCCCACATGACTCGCGTGATCTATAACTTTAATCGCATCTGCAGAGTCCCTTTGCCATGTAAGGTGACCTCTTCCCAGGCTCCAGGGATTAGGATGAGGCCGTGTCTGGGGCTGTTGTTTATCTACGGCGTGAATATGTCTGTAACTTGATGACTGCCTAGGGCAGTGATGGCGAACCGATGACACGCATGTCAGAGGTGACACACGAACTCATTTTTTTGGTTGATTTTTCTTTGTTAAATGGCATTTCAATATATAAAGTAAATATCAAAAATATAAATCTTTGTTTTACTATGGTTGCAAATATCAAAAAATTTCTATATGTGACACGGCACCAGAGTTAAGTTAGGGTTTTTCAAAATGCTGACACGCCGAGCTCAAAGGTTCGCCATCACTGGCCTAGGGTTTGGAAGAGAGGTGGAAAGCCTGCATGGGCCACGTCGGCCCCTCGCTTCCTGTTAGCTGGTCTGTGAAATGGGGTGGGGAAGGGGTGGGTGGGACTTCCTCCCGAGCCTCACACTGACTGGAATGTCACCATTATGGCATCTGCCATCTCTCTTGTCACTGCCTAGAACACAATGCCAGGTGATGTCACAAAGTCAGGTGTCGTTGGGACCCAGGAAGGTAAAAACTTTCAAACTCTTGTCAGAGCGAAAGACTGCAGTAGATGCTGCAGAGCTCGCGCAGCGGCCGGGGCTTTGTCTCGGGTTGGCAGCCTGGTTTTGTTTGCTGTTTTAAATTCTGCTGCGAGCACACCGGTGCATTCATACCAATCATTTTGGACACTTTTCTCTCCTTACACCAGGTTGTCGGCGTCGCCCAGGCCATCAACAAGAAGTCGGGAAACGGCGGGACATTCACTGAGAAAGATGAGAAGGTACAGAGCGCGTCTGGTGTGATGTCTCCTCAGGGTGGACAGACCTGCAGAGGAGCTGCTGCTGACGCTGCCCTCACTAAGCAGCCTGCGGGTTAACGTGATCTGAAATGGTCCGGATGCCGCCTGCGGCAGACACAGGGACCTGCAGGGGAACCTGTGCCATCCGCTTAGTCAGCTCCGCCCTGTGTGGCCACGCCTCCCCCACGGCGTGTATGTGTGCGTGCGTGTGTGCGTGCGTGTGTGAGTGCATGTGTGAGTGTGCGTGTGTGTGTGTGTGCGTGTGTGAGTGTGTGTGTGTGCGTGCGTGTGTGAGTGCATGTGTGAGTGTGCGTGTGTGTGTGTGTGCGTGTGAGTGTGTGTGTGCGTGCGTGTGTGTGAGTGCGTGTGTGAGTGTGTGTGTGTGCGTGCGTGTGTGAGTGTGCGTGTGTGTGCGTGTGTGAGTGTGTGTGTGTGTGTGAGTGCGTGTGTGTGTGAGTGCGTGTGTGAGTGCGTGTGTGCGTGTGCACACATTGGGGCCATGCAGAGGGTGACATGGACTTTCAGTTTGCTCACTACCTTTCATCACTGCTACTAAGAAATTCAGCCTTTGTCTGGCTGGTTTGACTCAGTGGATGGAGTGTTGGCCTGTGGACTGAAGGGTCCCAGGTTTGATTGTGGTTAAGGGCACTTGCTCAGGTTTCGGGCTTAATCCCCAGTAGGGGGCATGCAGGAGGCAGCCAATCAGTGATTCTCTCTCATCATTGATGTTTCTGTCTCTCTGTTCTATCTGTCCCTCTCCCTCTCTGAAATCGATAAAAATCTATTTAAAAGAAAAAAAAGAAATTCAGCCTCGAATAAACCCCCTGGAGCCGTGCTCCAAGGCCAGCACCACAGGTCAGCTGGGCGTCGGACCTGCCCCCTGTGAAGCCCAATCACAATGTCCTCTAAGCTGGGCACGCGGACGCAGGGCACCGAGGCGTGCATTCAGGCTGAGCATGCGAACCAGCTCCGGAAAGGGGGCCGTCAGCATTGTCCTGTGACAGGCCACACACCATCTGCTTCCGCTCAGGACCGCAGCCCGCACACCTGGTCACGGCTGCATCTACTGGCGGGTTTGCCATCCCTCTTCCTGAAGAGGCGTTACACGTGTGCCAGGGCGCCCTCCATCCTCCCCCCTCCCCCCCCTGCCCCAATTTCTCCTACCCAAGCCCAGTGCTGTGTCCGTCATTCCCTGAAAGTTAGGCGCTTTGGGAGACAAGACTTGTCTCCACGCTGGGGCTGTGTTGGCCCTGGTGTCGGTCTCTGTGTCTAAATTGCTCCAGAACAAAGCAAGTGCCTGTAAAGTCAGGGTCCTGGGCATCCACTCTCCCGTCTGTGAATGCCTCCTGAGCGTGTGTGGTGGACGCATGGCTCTAGGCAGCTTTCTGTCCTATTATCTGTTTATAGCTCATGAAATGTGAACCCCTCTAGAAAGGCCGGGATCCTTAGGCCGTATCACCACTTGGCAAAATGAATCCACGATTGTGGGTCCAGCGTGCCAGGTAAAGATCTATTTTAACCAACAAGCAATGTAAGTGTGAGCACACCACCTGAGTATAGTATATTGAGGACAATAGTTACCTGTTAAAAGGAACACAATTCAACTAATATCGGCAACTTTAGAGGGAAGTGTAATTGCCCGTCTTCTCCTAACGAGCACAAGAGCTTTATTTGCCCTGGGAAGAAGTTATAAGCCATTTGCATCTCCTCGGCATGGATCCGAGTCTTACTGTCATTCAGAGGCCACACGAGTTTTTGCATAAGAGCAGGTTCCCATTTCTAATAAAGAGACCAGGTCTCCATACCACTCTCTCTCTCCTTGTTCATGTCTACCTAACTTACAACATAGGAGGCTGTGTCGGTGCTGTTCACCCACTAGGGGGTGCCACTTCGCTCACACCCGCTCTGCCTCGTTTCCTGATTTTATGTAGAATAAACATCTCTCCTTCGGGCTCTCCCGTATTTATTTCAGCTCTACCTAACGCTGGATGCCCTTTGTGTTTCCGGCAACAGACCCAGACAGTTGTAGAGACAATTCTCACTTGGTGTTGTCTGGCCCGTTTTCTAGGACTTCGCCGCGTACTTGGCATTTTGTGGGATTGTTCTTCACAACGCACAGCTCTACGAGACATCGCTGCTGGAGAACAAGAGGAATCAGGCAAGTCCGGGGCCTAGAGAGAGAGAGCTCAGAGATTCTCTTTAAATGTGTTAAATGTTTATCTAATATATGCGTGTGATTTTTAGCCAATCTCTGTGCACGACTGAAAATGCAAATAGCAGATTCAGTTTCTAAGTATGTCAGTTCCTTCTAATAGTTATTTCTGCTTCCTTCTTCCCAAGTTCATAACCATTGGACAGTGTTCACTAATGAACAGGGGAGGGCTTATTTGGCTTTCACCACCCTTTGCTTGCATGACCCTTAGCGGACCAGTATCATCGGTCACTGTTTTGAGTTACGGGGTGGGTTGCATTTGTCATGTTAAATAACGCTTTCAGTTCTTGCTCCATCGACAAGAGATGTCATCTCTTGATTCCATGCTTCGTAAGACCAGGACCTCAGCATCTCTCATCTCTCCTTCCCAACTCCTCCTTGTCACCTCTGTTTTCCCATCTGGACTTTTTCTTTTATGTCACCCACGTGGATGACAGATATATTGTCTACAACCATGATTAACTGTGTGGGTTTTTGATTGTTGTTTTGTTTTGTTTTTTACCTCTAGGTTAATTCTAAAGTTGCAATTTCAAACAAGGTGTTCAGAAGTGCCAGGGCTGTGAGAATGTTGTTCATGTTAGTTTTTCTGGATGTTTCTGAATTCCATTCTTTTTCCCTTGAACTGTTTGCTTTGGTGTCATCTCATGCTGTTGGTCCTCCCACACTGCGACTCTCCATTATTTAGGCTTTCTGTGGAGTTCTTTTTCTCGGAGATCTCCAAGTAGATGTTCTCCATCTTGCCTCTTTCAAGCCAAACTGTGTCACCCCATGACTGCTGCCCAGGTGTCAGCATAGAACTGCCCTTCACAGCTTAAGGATCATCTGCAGCCATGGATCTCACATCTCCTCTCTCAGCGCATCCCCTTGCTGTATTGCCACACATTCTCAAGTAACTCTATGAGGAGGGGAGTGGTGAAGGAAGCTTTCTGAATCCTGGCATGTATGAAAATGTCTATTGTACCATCCTGGCAAGTTTTGCTGGGTGCAAAATTCTCAAATGAAAAAAAATCAGTTCCTCAGATTTTAAAGGTAGTGCTTTGTCTTCTAACTAGTATCCATGTTTTTCTGATTCTTGGTTCTTTGTAGATTTTTTTAAATGTGAGCTTTTTGGATTATTTCTTTATCTTTGCTTTGGTAACTTAATTTCACAAGATGACTTTTTCTTTTCCCTTTTAATTTATCATGCTGATGCCTGGTCATCCCTTTCAGCCTGGAGACTCATACCCTTCCGTTTTATGTGATTCTTTTTCATGATTTATTTGATGACTCTTCTCCCCTGCTCTCTATTTTTTCTCTTTTGAACTTGTATTAATAAGACATTGGACCTTCCATTGCCTTCAACTGCGGTATCTCCCTAACTGTTCCCATGCTCTGTGCTTGTCATCCATTCACCCAGACCCCGTGTTCACGAACACAACTGTGACCCTGTCACTTCCTTCCTGCAAACTGTCACCATCCAACTGCTTCAAGAGATATACAGGGTTTGGGGTTGTTTCTCTGCTTCACTCTCCAGCCTCATCTGCCCAGCTCTCCTCTTTACACTCCATAAGCACATGAAACTTGATCGAAGCTAGTAGTGTAGTGTGCTGCTTTTTCTCAATTCAGTTCTTTTTGACTGAAATAGTCTCCCTCCCCCACTTCACCTCAATGATTTCTACTCATCTTTCAGGCCTGGGCTAGGACAGTATCACCTCCAATAAATTTTCTGTAATATGTACCCTTTCTACCCCGTCATCACACTCATTCTTTGTGACATTGGAAGAAATTCTGTGGAATTCAAAGGAAAGAGAACTTACCAGGAAAATCACAAAAAGAACTAATACTTTGTTTACTTTGGACAGTATTTAATATGTCCTGTGAAAATGTCGATAAACATTAATACACATTTATTATTTATGAACAACGTGTTTTAAGTGTCATATGCTGTTCAAAATGCCTTATAAATGTTAACTTATTTTGTTCTTACGGCATTCCTATGATTTTGGTACTACTGTTATCCCCATTTTCAAGAAATTTTCCCTAAATCACAAAGCTGGCAGGAAGGGAAGTCGGAATTAAAATCTAATGACTCTGGCTGGATTCAGAGTCTATGATAGGACCACTGTACTAACTGTAATAACAATTGTTAGTAAGCAGAATGCAAACTTGCTTGTAACATGTTAGATTAAATATATATAAACAACGTATAGCTCATATATATCATTATATTGCTTTAGTGGTCACAAGCAGTCCTATATAATAAAAGCCTAATATTCTAAGTGTCTCGTCGTCCAGTCGTCCATTCAACCAATCAAAGCATAATATGCTAATGATATGCTAAGGTTGCTCAAGTGCTCGCTATGACGTGCACTGGCCACTGGGGGACAGACACTCCGACCTGTAGGTTAGCTTGCTGCTGGGGTCTGGCCGATTGGGACTGAGCGAGAGGGGTCAGATATGCCCTGGAGCCCTCCCAGAGACCCTCCCTAGCTGTCCAACCTCCCGTATCCCTACCTGGCCCCAATCATGCACCAGTGGGGTCTGTTGGCTTGGCCTGCACCCTCTTGCACTCCAGGACCCCTTAGGGGATGTCAGAGAGCCAGTTTCAGCCCAATCCTGCAAGCCAGGCCGAGGGACCCCATGGTGCACGGATTCGTGCACCGGGCCTCTAGTTACTAAATTTGAAGCTTGTGGTGTCTTTTTGTCAGGTGCTGCTTGACCTGGCCAGCCTGATTTTTGAAGAGCAGCAATCCTTGGAGGTCATTCTGAAGAAGATCGCTGCCACGATTATCTCCTTCATGCAGGTGCAGAAGTGCACCATCTTCATCGTGGATGGAGACTGCTCCGTGAGTACAGAGTATGGCTTTTTTCTTGTTAGAAAGACAGAAATGGAGATTCCTTGGGCCACTGCTTGTAAACCCCATGTTAGCCTCGAACCCTCTCCTAAATCCTGTGTGGTTGGTCATGCAAAGCTGAGGACAGTAGACCTGTCCTGGTTGAAGACAGGTCGGGGTGGGGGGAGGGTGCCTCAGTTCCCTCCTCAAAGCGATCGCCATGGGCGTGTCCTGTGCAGCTGTGGTCAGCGGGTCCGTGGCCGCGATGGGGAAATGCATTCGTTAGTGCTGGCCTCCCATGGCTGGAAGAGCGGTGCCACGGCCGCTCGGGGCAGGGAGACCCCCGTTCTGAACGGGCTGGGCAGCACATTTTCTTTTCTTTGTAAAATAGGTTTCTCATCTTACTTATTTTTTAAAATATATTTTTATTGATTTCAGAGAGGAAGGGAGAGGGAGAGAGAGAGAGAAACATCAATGATGAGAGAGAATCATGGATCGGCTCCCTCTTGCACACCCGCTACTGGGGATTGAGCCCGCAATCAGGGCATGTGCCCTTGACAGAAATCGAACCCGGGACCCTTCAGCCCACAGGCCGACGCTCTATCTACTGAGCCAAACCGGCTAGGGCCATGTTATCTTTTGCCAGAAATACTTTAAAAAACAAAGGGATGGCCCAATAGAGCCTCCATTATTAAAGCTGCCTGTGGGTCCCCAATCCTTTACCAGCAATGGGAAGCCACCAAACAGTTCTGAGTGTAAATTTCAATCCACCGATTTGTTTGGCTCAGCAGATAGAGCTTCAGCCTGTGGACTGAAGGGTCCTGGGTTTGATTCTGGTCAAGGGCATGCACCTTGGTTGCAGGCTTCTCCCTGGCCCGGGCCCTGGTCAGGGCTCATGCAGGAGGCAACCCATTGATGTTTCTCTCACATCGATGTTTCTCTCTGTCTTTTCCTCTCTCTTCCACTGTGCCTAAAAAATCAATGGGAAAATATCCTCGGGTGAGGATTAAAAAAAAAAAAAGCAAGAAAGAGATGTGTGTGAGAGGTGGTTCTCGTAGGGGGCTGGTTGCCGCTCGATGGGCCAGCCGCGCTTGCTGTTAGAATCGGGGCCCCTGGCCGAAGGCAGTTTTCCTTTCTGCAGTTTCTTTCCCTTCTCAGCCTGTGAACCACTGCTGCCAGGGGACTTCTATTGGATGTCCTTGTTCCTCTTCTTTTCCCTTTAGACCCTGGCGATAGGCTCCTTATTGGGGGGTTAGTGGGAAAGAGAGTGGGGTCACCACTTGTATCAGTCAGCTTCCACCATGTGTGATATCTGAGTTGATGTTTTTGGGAGGAGGCAGAATAAAATATATTTAATACTTATATTTAAAGTCTTTACATTGTTTTAGGTAGTAAGATTGCACTGTAGGACCCAACATTATCTGAATCAGTGTGTGTGTGTGTGTGTGTGTGTGTGTGTGTGTGTGATTCTCATTAATAGGATATCAATTAGGAACTCTCTATGCTGTAAGGTAACCGGTATTCTCGTAGATACTACTTCATATGCTTAATCAGTTATGAAACCTGTAACATAGAGATGATTATAAGAGAGTAGCCACCCTTTTCAAGTTCAGGTCAGCACTCACTAATGCAGTCTGTCAACTTAGCACGTTTCCCCTGCGATTTACTGTTGGAAAGTTATATACGAGGCCCCCCCTTTTTCAGACACCGGAAATGTCATTAGCATCCAGCTCAAGCTTCCCCGTTAACCCTGTCATGGCAGTGTCTGCCTCCACTCACTGGTGCTTTGAACAAAGCCCAGCCACAGGCCCACTGATGCACTTTGCTCACTTTTAACAGCTTCGGTTGTTGGGTTTAGGTAGGGAATTAAGTGACTTGATTTACGTTGCAGTTAGTTACCGATTAAAAGTATTTCAACAGCGTGAGCCAAAATCAAAATGTGAGCCAGAAAAAAAAAACACGTGCTCCTCTCTCCTGTCCCCACGTCACACTAACATCAGTGTTTTAGTCCTGCTTCCTTCCGATTCTTCAGGCGAAAGTATAGCTCGGCTGCAAGTATGTACCTGCTTTTCAGTGTAACTTCAAAAGGGTTTCTCTCTGTTGCTCAAACCTTCCCAATTGTTTGGCTCTCGCAGAATATGACTGCATGGGATGTCTTTCTAAAAAGCCATTCCTCTCCTGGGATCTAGCAGCAGCAATCGATGTCTGCATGAAAGCAGGACTGGAGGGTTTTGAAGAAATATAGAGAAATGTTGAAGCTAACATTTATTAAGACCTGGTAGAAAAAAAAAAAAGAGTGATCAAAGAAGCATTCTAGGCAGTAGCGATCAGAAGCTATAGGAACATGGCTTTAATAGCATGATGTGGTGAAGTGAGCGCTCGGTCCGGCTCCCTCGGAGAGTAAGTAGACAAACGTAACACCAGCCCGTGTCTGCGCGGACGCCTGGTACAGCCGCGTCACACTTACTCCAGCCTTGTCGCTGTGTTTCCAGGATTCCTTTTCCAGCGTGTTCCACATGGAGTGTGAGGAGCTGGAGCGATCATCCGACACTGTGACAAGGTAAAAGAACTCCGCCTGCATTCATTCACCAGCCTGCGAAACAGGCTACAGCGTCGTTCCGTGACCCAGTTAATTTCAGACACAGATGCTGTTGACTTTTATGTTCCCCGCACATAATTTGGTTTGTGAAAATACTTCGCTGTTGGATGTTATAAAGTCCCGGGGTTTGTGTTGTGATGTGTTTACTCCAGCTAAGAATTCTCTCACAGAGTGAACGGTCCCGGTGAGCACAGGCCTGGGCACCGTGAGTCCTGTGAGCTGGCTCTGGAGCCCCCCAGGGCTCTATTTCAATTAGAGTTTTCACTGCCTATCGGAGACCCCTGGACATTTGACAGTTTCTAGACAAAGTTTTCCGCGAATCTGTTCTGATTTGGAGTCAGCAGGGGATTTAATGCAGAAGGGAGCCTGCGGCCGAGTCACAGTCGTGGGCCGACCCTGGGGCTGGAGACAGGGCAGGTGTCCATTGGAGCTCACTGGTTTTTCATGTTTTTTTTTATGTTTAAATTCTTATTCGCCTTTCAATTGTTGCTCGGAAACAGCAAAGTGTTGATGTCTGGAGGGTGTGGTGCTCCTGGCCCTGTTTTGTCTGTGTGCTCCCACCGCCCCGTGCACCCCGTGCACCCCGTGCGAGCTGCTGGCGCTGGCTTGCGCGAGCCTTCCTGCGGAGTGTGGTCCGCCAGCCTCCAGCGACCGGAAGGCCTGGCAAATGCTGCTTATCACGGGACCTGTTTTTCATTCCTTCCAATCATTTTCCCAGAAATTATTGATATTATATCGTTTGATCGTGGAAATAGGACATTATCTTAACAACATCTCTGCCTCCCACATGTGGGCTTCAGGCCGGACTGCCTCGTTCAGCGGCAGAGTTCCTTATTCTTAGGACGAGCACTAATCTAGATCACTTTGATTTTAGGATGCTGTGACATTTTTGTTGCTTTTTTATAAAGAACATTTTAGAAAGCTTCCAGATAAGACACATAATTATTGGACTAGTTTGCTTTTTGACTTGCATAAATAATGAATTTATATAGGTACAAATATAAACATGTATATTGAAGACTTTACATATGTTATGGGATTAGGAAATTGGTGTGATAGGGAATATTAAATGTGTAAAATTATAAAGTACCTACATTTACCTTTGAATATCTGCAGCAGCATGTATGTGTAATTATTTTCATTCGCATTTTGACTGTTATTATTAATTAGGTCCTCTAATTCCTGGCAGTGAGAGCTGAATTCCTAGCCCAGTGACTTGGTGTAATAGTGACCCCTACTGGTGAATATGCTTTTTTTTTTAAAGCGAAGTCTTACTATATAGCAGCAGTTTTTAACCTGTGGGTCGCACCCGCTTTGGGGGTCGAATGACCCTTTCACAGGGGTCCCCTAAGACCATCGGAAAACACATATATAATTACATATTGTTTTTGTGATTAATCACTATGCTTTAATTATGTTCAATTTCTAACAATGAAAATACATCCTGCATATCAAATATTTACATTACGATTCATAACAGTAGCAAATTACAGTTATGAAGTAGCAATGAAAATAATTTTATGGTTGGGGGTCACCACAACATGAGGAACTATATTAAAGGGTCGCGGCATTAGGAAGGTTGAGAACCACTGCTATATAGTATATTTACTTTCTTACTATATATTTGATTAGTTCCTGGTGAATACCATATTCCCTTTCTGTAAGCAAAATAGAGGTATCTTTTCATTTATGTTTTTAATCGTTTCAAAACAGTCTTAGTATAAATATATTTCCTTATAAAGATAGCTAGTTGGGTATGATTACCTTAAAGGAGACTAATTTGCATGGATCATTTTAACTGATTTTACAGTAATGAAAATTATTTAATACGAATACCTTATTTCCGCTAAACATTTTAAACTTAACTACTATTCTAATGATGCATTTAAAGACATCTTAGTGATTTTTAAAAAAATAAAAATTAGATATGAGACTTGAGTTTTGCAAAAACGCAGATTAGCATGATGTTTAATAGCTCCTGCATTTTGAAATAGGACTAACCTGGTACTCATTGTCACCATCAGAGTCTTCGTTCTCTTTCTAAAATTGCTTATTGCTAGAACTCGGGCCCTCTCGCCCTCACTGGCCCACACTTTGCAGTCCAGACCCTCTTCCATGCAGTGACCGTGGAGGGAGAGGTGAGCAGTATGTGTAGGCAGTATGTGTCCGCTTAAAAGCCTGGCTCATTTGGTATCTTTCCAGCCAGCCCGCTTATTTTTCATAAATAAAATGATGTGTTAAAGACAGCTGTGAAACGTTAAGTGTGAAACACTCAGGGTGCACAGGATGCAGAATCATTAGCGTCGGATCACCGTGGGAGGAAGTGAGGGCTGCGCTGGGAGGTGGGCCCAAGGACTCGGGGAGGGAAGCGCATTTCCAGATGGGGGGGTTTCAGTTCATTCAAACCGAAGCGCCACCAATTAGAAGGGAAAGGGAGTGTGACGGTGCACCGTTTACGTTAGCATTTAATTTTAGGAAATAGCGCTATTATTCCATATTCATTCCCTGTTAATTTATAAATCCACGTTTTTATCATAAAACAACACATACATAGGGTTAATCCTCTAAACTCACTTTCTTGGAATATATATACGGTACTAATTAATACTTATTGATGATAATTATATTAGAAACATAATTTTAGTTAAATACAGTAACACCTACAACTTAAAAATGTAGTGAAAAGGATTTTACCACGTTGAAAAAACTGGAGGCGGAGGAGGAGAGTGCAGACTCTGAAATCAGACTAGTTGCATTTAAGTTCCACCACTTTACCGGCGCCAGGGCTTTGTGTAAATGATTGTACCTCTGGAGGGCTCAGTGTCTCCATCTGTGAAATGGGCACACTTGTACAGGAGCAGGGCTGGAGCTCGCGCTGAGCGAGATAATTCCGGGACATAGTAAGTTCTCCGCATTCGCTGCTATTTCTGTCTCTCGGCTGTGTCTTTCTGTCTTTGGCTTACACCGCCTGCAGCTTCCAATTAGCTCTAAAGCACAGACATTTCTCAGTGTGTCTCCCCCCCTTCCCCCCCCCCCCCCCACGTCTTCCCGAGATGTCCTCCCATATGCCCACTGATACCCGCTTTGCGAAGAGCCTCGGACGTCTGAGTGAGCCAGGGCCTCGGAGAAGCGGGTGCTGAGACTGGACTAAATATGCAAGACATTCAGGAGGGAGAGAGGGCGGGGAGGGTCTGTGGAGGCGTCGGGCAGGGCTGCGGGGAGCCCTCCTGTCGGGAGAGTCCCAGCTGTGGCGGCACCGTCCCTCGCAGCGCTGGCCGGCGTGGCCTCCGTGCAGCCGTGGCCGTGGCTTAGAGCCGCTCCCCGCAGCTGGAGCCGGAGGCGCGTTGCAAGGCCACCGGGAGATCCCTGTGATTTAAGCCTGAGGCCCTATTCCTCGCATGGCACCTTCCATGCTACCTGCTGTGGTCTTAGCTGATCTTGGCCAATGTCGTGGGCCCGAAGCCACCGCCTCACGCCTGATGCCTGGTGATGCAATGGCTTCCAGACGCGCAGACTCAGTTTCAACACTGTCGTGTTTTATGCTGTTTTTATTCCCTTCCTGCGCCCCCCCCCCCACCCTGTCTTTCTTCACATCCTTACTTCCTGAATCTTACCAGACTTTCAGGGTCCCTCCAGCACCGCCTCCTCCCTGACCAGCTCCTCTTAGGTGCACCAGCCCTTTCCTCCGCACGCCCCGCCCTCTCCTCCTCCACAGGCCCCGCCCTCTCCTCCTCCAAAGGCCCCGCCCTCTCCACTGGCCCCGCCCTGTCCTACCCACGCCCCCGCCCTCTCCTCTTCCACAGGCCCCGCCCTCTCCTCCCAATGCCCCGCCCTCTCCTCCTCCACAGGCCCCGCCCTGTCCTACCCACGCCCCCGCCCTCTCCTCTTCCACAGGCCCCGCCCTCTCCTCCCAACGCCCCGCCCTCTCCTCCCAACGCCCCGCCCTCTCCTCCCAACGCCCCGCCCTCTTCACACACCCCGCCCTCTCAATACACCCCGCCCTCTCCTCTGCACAGGGTGATACTATTGCCAGCTGCATTCCTTAGGGTCAGGCTGGATCGTGCATCATAAAAACCCCATTGAAAGGCGCTCAGCGAGCGCAGTGCTGCTGCTCCTGGAAGAGCTGGAGGTGGCGGCTCAGGTGCTCACAGGCCTGGGGACCCAGGCACCCGGTTCTCCTGCGCCATCAGGTGTGGCCCTCCCCTTTGGGGTCAGGGAGGCCGCTCCTGCATCCTTTCCTGGGGTCAGAGGGCTGTGGGGGACCAGGCAGGATGGGCAGAGAAATGCAGCAGCTGCCTCTTCGCGGAGGTTTCTAGAAGCCCTCACGTTTTCTCTCTTGTCCTATGGACTTGAACTTACATGGCATCCAGCCCCAGGTGGCTGAGCCCGAGCCTTCCTTCTGGGGCCAGGGGTGCAGGTGCAAGGGGGGGTCCGGAGACTGGGCGCTGCCCGGCAGCGTGTGCAGCTGCACGCCGACCACAGCGGCGTGACAGCCGATGACCCGCCTGGGCAGGCTCCGCGGGACACTGACCAGGCCTCCCCGCCCCGGGCACTCAGGCTGCGCCTACAGAGTGTGGGAAGGAAGCTCCCTCCGCATTCCTCCCCGAGTGAGAGAGGAAATGATAACTCAGTAACCCCAACACCACTTTTCCCTAAAGTGCCCATTAGGAACTGGAAAGCTTCAGGGAATTAAAAGAACGGGGTTTCTGAAAAGTCATGGACGTGTGGCTACTTCTCCCTGTCAGCGTCTCTAAGTCGGATTTTACCCTCCCCCGCAAGTGACTAACTATTTTGGGTTTCCTCCGGCTCCCGCTGTGAACAGGATGATGGTGAGGATAATAAAGCCATTAATAGCATCATTATCACTTCCTCTCCAGCCCCTCTTTCTCACAGTGACTTCGATGTTTCTTATCTTCCCCAAAGCCTGTCTTCCTTCCCTGAGGCTCTTGCTGTCCGTGTTGGATCCGCAGTTTTAAAGTTTGCTTAATGAGCCTAAAGCCCACGCTTATCTCGAGCTTTTCCTGGGATTCCCTCCAGATTATCTGTGTGGAGCGGGTTGGCTTCTGACTCCTCACTCTTCTTCACTCACACGTAATACCAGGCACATGGTCACTGGGAAAATATTCTAAGTCAGTGGTTCTCAACCTTCTGGCCCTTTAAATACAGTTCCTCATGTTGTGACCCAACCATAAAATTATTTTCGTTGCTACTTCATAACTGTCATGTTGCTACAGTTATGAGTCATAATGTAAATATCTGATATGCAGGATGGTCTTAGGCGACCCCTGTAAAAGGGTTGTTCGACCGCCAAAGGGGTCGCGACCCACAGGTTGAGAACTGCTGTTCTAAGTGAATGAGAATCTTTTGAAGAAGATACATTTTTTATGCTTTTTATGATCTTAAAAGTATCCTAAAAGATCTGAAAGAAAGGAGACGCGAGCTTGCTGAGTGAAGCTCGTCTCCGCGTGTCGGCTCTCCCTGGATTTGAAATGTGGGAGGGGCTGTTGGGGCGGGTACGTAGAGAAAATAACCAAGGAATAGGACAGGCTGGTCCTTGGCCACTCTATGGTCTGATGGAAATGAGACCTGGGAGGGAATTCCGGTGGATTTTACATTCAGCGGCACAAAAATCAACAGGCCCGTCGGCGATGGCAAGGAGATGACTTAGGGCGTTTAAAAACTTGCTGTGGGTCGTTGGAAAATTGTGGGTCTTTGTCTTTTCAAACCATTTCAGTTCTAGTAACCACCCAAGTTGTCAATCGGGAAGTGCATTTCAAGCCGCCTCTCCTACGTACGACACGCGCTTGCCCGATGGCCGGAGACCTGTTCGTCTCTCTCATGTCGTTTCTTTAACTCCGCTGCCCACAGAGCGCTCACCTGCCTTCCTCCCACAGGGACCGGAATGGGAGCCAGATCAACTACATGTACGCTCAGTACGTCGCCAGCACCATGGAGGCGCTCAACATCCCCGACGTCAGCAAGGACAGCAGATTCCCCTGGGCGGTGAGTAGCCGGTGTGGGGCTCGGAGTGCGGGCGGCCTTCCCTGACCAGATGCCCTTAGCACCTGCCGGGAGCTGGGCCGCGATGCTTGAGTACTTCCCTGTGTACTTTCACCCGTTTTTAAATAATTCATTGGCACGTGAGATGATTGCTCTATTGCCCACTTCATGTCAGTGATGGCCCCAAGACAGGCTTGCTAGCGTTCTTGAGTTTATCCTCAAAAGGTAAGTTTTCCATGGCTTGAAGTGACGTACCTGGTGACCCACCACAGGGAGCAGCTCCATGGAGAATGAATATCTGTTTTCCCTGACAACAAGGCGGCAAAGACCCGTTTCTCGGCCATGGGAAACTTTGAATCCTGGTATTTTCTCTCCTTTTACTTCAGAGAAGCATTGCATGTGGAGGCAGCTGCCTTGCTGTTGTTGTTTCATATCTAGGAGGCCTCTTAGAAGTCAGCAGTATGGGCAGTGGACACAGTGGTCATGCGTCCACAGAGGGCCAGTGTGTAACACGTGGTGTCGGGGGGGATGGTTGACTCTTCTGGATTCTGCTCCTCTTGTTAGGCGACCAGAGACACCTCCTCCAGGTACAGTGCATGCTAGTACTGTAAGCTGCTGGGAACGTTTAAAGTGGGAAAAAAAGAAATCTAGGATATATACTCGCCTGATTGATGTTTTTAGAGAGAGAGGAAGGGAGAGGGGTGGGGAAGAGGGAGAGAGAGAAACATCGGTGTGAGAGAGACACATCAATTGGTTGCCTTCCGCATGCACCCCTATTGAGCCTGCAACCGAGACACATGCCCTTGAATAGGAATCAAACCTGTGACCCTTTGGTCGTGGGCTGACACTCTAACCACTGAGCCAAACCAACCAGGGCTAGGTTATTTGTATTTTTAATAATAAAAACTAATTGCTTTCTATTGCATTCATGTGAATGCCATTGTACTTCGTATATTTTCTGCACTCTTATCACTCCAGCTAATAAAAGATGACTATGTTAGTGGGTTCAGATGCCCAATATAGTTTACATAACAGCATCTAATGGGAAAATCACTCTTTTTGTAATTTTTTGCTGTTGTTTTGTTTAGAATGAAAACATGGGGAACGTAAGCCAGCAGGGCATTCGAAGTTTGCTTTGTACGCCTATAAAAAATGGAAAGAAGAATAAAGTGATAGGTAAGTAAGCTTTTCATTAACCTCCACGCTGCCCTTACTAAAGAAAAAAATAATGTATTCCCAGAAACTTCTGTCTTTCAAGTGTAAATTTAAAGAATAAAATGTGTAAAAGATAAAAATTGAAATGATAAGAGGATGTTCAACTAACCACAGGCATTTGGTGCATGTCTTATTAACTATGATGTACTTTCTGTAATTATTGTAATCCTGTTTTAACAGCATTTTTGTTTAAGGATGACGTGTTGAGAGTTAGTAGACAGAGAAACATCGAGTTGATCATGTGCATTGTTTTAGAGTCTCATTTCTTGGTTTCTGGTTTTTCTTTCTTGAACATGTGGTTTAGATTGTAGGTTGTACTGATTCATTCATCAGAAGTATCTAGCGAGCTCCCTACCGCTCTAGGCTCTGGGGTGAAACAGTCAACAAGTGAGCAAAAAAATTTAAAAGTGCCAGGGGAACCATCAGACCTCTCTTGGCGTATGTTTTGTGTCCTCACTTGAGAACAGAGTCTGCAGTAAGCAGATGCTGTTTTTGGAGAGGAAAATTCCCTGTAAATCAAAAGGATTTAAAAATGATCCCTGGGTGGGGTTTTAGCTGTGGGCGCATGTTGGTTCCAAGTAAAGGAGGAACTTGCCAGCGTTCCTGCTGTTTCATAAGTGGGAGAGACAAAGCATTTCAATGCTTGACTAGACCGTGCGCCCCACAGGCAGCCTGGAAAATGTCAGGGCTGTAGATCATTTTTCTTGCCTGTCACAGACCAGATTCTGTGATTGTGTCGTTCTAATAGAGAATCCCCACAGAGCTACACACAGAACACAGATGGACCATGTGTTTTCTGTCATCTTTCCCTCCCTCCCCTGCTCATCCTTGTCCATTACTGACATTAAGGTGACATCACAGACATTAGGCCAGTGGGGGCCTGTTGTCTTGACAGATGTACCCTGAGGTTTTGTTTCCCACACATGTCTCCTCGGTGCTCTGGCTGACAGTGTTTCCACCACTTTGCTTCCAACGCTGTAAAGGAAACACTTTCCTATTCAACATTCATTTATTTAACCAACTAGTCCCCCTACTTATTAGGCTAAATGTGCCTTTTTCCTATATTGTATTTACCAGAAATCCTTCTGCCTGTTATTCACACCAACTCCTAATGTTCACACCAACTCCTTCTATTAGTCACAATTCCTATGTTCCCACCAACTTCTATCATTCACACCAACTCCTATTGTTCTCACCAACTCCTCCTCTTGTTCACACCAACTCCTATTGTTCATACCAACTCCCCCTATTGTTCACACCAACTCCTATTATTCACAATTCCTATGTTCACAACAATTCCTATTCTCACCAATTCCTCCTCTTGTTCACACCAGTTCCTCCTATTGTTCACCAACCAACTCCTACTGTTCATACCAACTCCTCCTCTTGTTCACACCAACTCCTGCTATTATTCACAACTCCTATGTTCACACCAACTCCTATCATTTACACAAACTCCTATCATTCTCCCCAATTCCCCCTGCTGTTCACACCAACTCCTATTGCTCACAGCAGCTCCTCCTATTGTTTGCACCAGCTCCTCCTATTGTTCACACAAACTCCAGGGCATTTTTTAAAAGGAATTATCCCATTCCCATCCAAAGAAATAAAAGTTTAGTCCATCTCCACTATAAATAACTTATGTTTCCATGTCTTTGTTAGTGCAAAGTCTAATACAAAGTACAGTGTCTACCACACACTGCCTGACTGGGAAGCATGAGAAATAGGCCTTTTTACTGAATGTGATTCCAAATGGATTCCTCTCCCCTACCTCCTCCTCTCACCCTGTGTTGCAGCCCGATTCCACAGCACAAGCTCATATCCTAAAATTACATGTTTAACTTTGACTTCTGCTTCATTTTATGTTTCACATTAAACTCAATCATGTGGCTCTATCGCTGATGGCTCCATTGTTTATAAGACACTCGCTAGGGTTTTCCCGATGCAGGCGTGATTGAGCTGCACTGTGGCCTGCATGGAGCACGCTGGTGTTTTAATGCTTAAAGTACCCAGTGTTTCCCCAGTTGGAGAACTGAAAGGTATGCCTCGTTATAATAAGCACCCGGAAATGAGACAGTAATAATTAGAATGGAATGAGAAAAAATAACACTAAGACATTATAGCTTAAAATTATCAAAGTGAAAATTTACAAAGTGAAAACAAATATGGATGTTAAGGTTTCAAGCATCGATTGAAGAAACAGAGAAATGAGACAGATGTCATTCTAGCACCAGGAGACAGAGAAGGCTGCCTGTTGGGCCAGAATGCCGAGGAGTTTCTGAAAGATCTGAAGAATACGCTGCTTGCAAGAACACATTTCACACAAAAGGGACAAAATTTGAATAGAGATAATAACATCAGACAAAATGGAATTTAAGGTGAAAACATCATGTAAAGGGCCTCTGTGGGGAAGCCTGAGACTTGGTTGGAAAGTTGTGAGGAGGACATTGCGAGGAAAGGGAGGAAGGCTGTCTGCCCTGTTTATCGGAATTCTGACTTAGGGGAGACTTAGGGGAGTGTCAAAGGCAGCATCCCTAATTATTCCTTGACTTTTCCAAACAAGTCTGTGCACGTGCAGACCCCTGGATGTTTACTGGAATCCTTTCACTTAATCTCTGAATGCCCTTACCTAGAGGATAGTGTGAACACACGTGTCCTCCCAAGATTACTTACCCTATTGATTGTATCTAAAAAATAAACTTTATCTCAAACTGTAATAAAAGCCTAGCAAGGCAGGCAATCTGGGCTGCCTGGTCCTCTCTTTCACAGCAAACGTTGTGTCAGAGTAATCCATTCATCTGTTGCTCAGGGTCCATTGGTCACCCCCCGCTGGTCTCCACATTGATTAGATTTAAAGTCCACAGAGGAAAGTGTAATTGTCATAAGTGCTTCTAATAAACTGGAAAACATCATTGACATATAAAAGCCAAAGCTGTTAAAAATACAAGGAGAAATGGACAAAATGGCAATCCATGCAATGTAAAAGAAAGGGGGGAAGTGAGGGAACATTAGAATTGATTAATATAAAAATGAAATGGACCTACTCGGCATATGTATACTTTTTATCTCATAATTTAAAAATACAAATTCCTGTCAAATATCCATCCAAATTTCTCAAATACTGTTGATAGTCACACACACAACACGAGCTCAGTGACTTCTGAGGAGTGGAATTGACAGCCACTCTCCTGGACCGTGATGCATTAAAGCTGGATGTGCAGAATGAAAGGGTCAGTGGGAAGGAGAAAACTCTCAGAAACTGGACGTGTTCTCCTGAATGACAAAGAAGAACTCCAAAGTCAGAACGAGAGCACCGTAGTTCCGTGGTTTCAACTACTCCATGTCCTAATTCATTAAATGGAAAATTCCAAAAATAGGCAATTTATACATTTTAAATCGGATGACCTTCTGAGGACAGTGATGAAATCTCGAGAGTCTCATGCCATCTCGTGTGGGATGTGACCATCGCTTCCCCCCCATCTCCACCTGTAGAAGCCCGCCTATTTTTAGCATTGCCTTATTTCATTATTACTGTGCCTAATTTATCAATTACACTTCATCCTAGCTGTGTATATACAGGTGAAAACTTACTAGATAGGAGGTCTGGGACTCGCCATGGTCTCAGGCCTCCACTTGGGGTCTTTGGACGTATCCCCCATGGATAAGGGAGCATTTTAGAAAATTAATGGTTGTATTGATACAACAAATACTCAAGGTACATGGTCAAAGCTATACACTCGGGAGATATATAGTTGTAAATATTTTGTTATATATATATTAATAACAAAATTATTTGAATTAAGTGGTCAACTGCAGACATTAGAAAAATAGGACTTTCTCTTTTTCACCCTCTACACTTTTCTCCCCCAAATCTACACTAATAAAAGAGAAAAATGGTAATTGGCGTACGGCGCTACCCTTTTCATTGGCTAATCAGAGCTATATGCAAATTAACTGCCAACTAAGATGGCAGTTAACTGCCAACAAAGATGGAGGCTAATTTGCATATGTAGGCACAATGCAGGGAGGCGAAAGGGAAAGCAGGAAGAAACCCCCTGCCACTGACAGTGATCGGAAACCCAGGGGGGAGCTAAGAGGTGGGGGGCAGGGCAAAGGCGGCCCTGGGGCCGCCTTTGCCCTGCCCCCAGCCATGATCGGAGAATCAGGCGCCTTTGCCGCCCTGGCCAGTGATAGCAGGAAGTAGGGGTGGAGCCAGCAATGGGAGCTGGGCACGGTCGAAGCTGGCAGTCCCGGGAGTTAGGGGTCCCTTGCCTGGGCCTAAAGCAGAGCCCACGATCGCAGGCCGCTGCAGCTGCAGGTCCCCGCTGCCCGAGCCGGATGCCTCAGCCAGAGGCGTTAGGCCTGGGCAGGGGCAGAGCAGGAGATCGCAGGGAGCTGGGAGTCGCCTGGGCGGGGGTCAGAGCCAGTGATCGGGGGGAGATGGGGGTCCCCTGTCCAAGCCTGACACCTCTGGCAGAGGCGTCAGGCCTGGGCAAGGGGCAGAGCCAGCAATCGGAGGGGTCTGGGGGTCCCCTGCCCAGGCCTGACGCCTGGGCCAGAGGAATCAGGCCTGGGCTGGGGGCAGAACCAGTGATGGGGGGAAATGAAGGTCCCCTGCCCAGGCCTGATGCCTCTGTAAGAGGCATCAGGCCTGGGCAAGGGGCTGATCCTACGATTGGAGGGTGATGGGGGTCAACGCCTGAGGGCTCCCAGTATGTGAGAGGGTGCAGGCTGGGCTGAGGGACACTCCCCCCACACACACACCCAGTGCACGAATTTCGTGCACCGGGCCCCTAGTAAATAAATAATAGGAAGAAATAAAGCAGAGGGAAAATGATGAAAAGATAAATTTATGAACTGGGAAGGGATTAAAATAAGAGATAATGTGCAAACACAATAATAATAAACCTCCAACAGACCACCCTCTATAATAAAAGGCTAATATGCAAATCAACCGAATAGCAGAATGACCAGTTGCTATGATGTGCACTGACCACCAGGGGGCAGACGCTCAATGCAGGAGCTTCCCCCTGGTGGTCAGTGCGCGCCCACAGCAGGAGCGCCGCTCAGCCAGAAGCCGGGCTCACAGCTGGCAAGAGGGCTCTCGGACTGCAAGAGGGCACAGGCCGGACTGAGGGACACCCCCTTCCCTGCCAAGTGCACGAATTTTTGTGCATCAGGCCTCTAGTGAAGATATAAGAGAAACAAGTATGGATGAGCAAGGAAGTTATTGAGGCACCCAATCCTCCCAGGGACCATGAGACTCAGGAGTCCATGGGCAAATGGTTCAGTAGAGATCGGTCAGAATGTTGACATCCTCTTCCAGTCCTGTTAATGACATGTTTGACCTTGAAAGAGAGGCTGGGACATAGGAGGTCATGGTTTCCTTCAGGAATGCGTCCTGCCTTTATTTCTATGCAAACTGTCATTTTTATTTGAAGTATCGGAAGCCATCTACAAGCATGATTCTCCAAGACGCAGGACCCTGCGTGAGCTGTGAGAGCGTCCTGTGACCTACCTGTTCTCTGTGTCCCACCTTGTGTGTAACTGTGGCTTTGAGCCTTTGCTTTCTCAGGAAGGAGAGGCAGGCTGCCTGGCCCAGAATTCAGATGTGCATCAAAATTGTTCTCTTGGCGAGTGCACAAAAACCCAATTAGTCTCCCACAGACAGGCTGTCTCTGGGGCTCCAGCAGCCTAACTTTCAGGGCACCTCTGCGAGAAAGTAGCTCAGGATTTTTGAACAGCCCACATTCCAGACCATGTGGAATGAGGGCTCATGTAGATAAATCCCGTAGGCTTTTCTGGTTGATACTGTTCTGAGGTGCCAGGCGTTCCTGAGAGGAGATTATCAGGCAGTCTCGGAGTGAGAGTCATTGAGCATTGTGACCTCCAGTAACATCGGCTCCTTTCCATGTGTCATCACAGGGGTTTGCCAGCTCGTGAACAAGATGGAGGAGAACACCGGCAAGGTGAAGCCATTCAACCGGAACGATGAGCAGTTCCTGGAAGCTTTCGTAATCTTCTGTGGCCTGGGGATCCAGAACACACAGATGTATGAGGCGGTGGAGAGGGCCATGGCCAAGCAGATGGTCACGTTGGAGGTGAGCACAGCTGGGGGACCTCTTGGTGTCCATACTTGTCAAAGGTCACGTGACCAAACCACAACTCAGGCCCACGGCTTGCTCAGTCCGTCTGCTTTGTTATGGAAAGCAGCGCGTGACCCAGGCCATCCACTCCCATGGACAGAACTGCCACGGCATCACCCAGCCCATCTCACCTTGCCAACAGCTCTAGTCACAGTTTCAAAAACAAAGACAGACCTAGCTGGTTCTGCTCAGTGGATAGAGTGTCGGCCTGTGACTGCAGAGTTCCAGGTTTGATTTCAATCAAGGGCATGTACCTCGTTGTTGCAGGCTCGAGCGCTGGTCCTGGTCAGGGTGTGTTAGGAGGCAGCCCGTTGATGTGTCTCTCTTCTCACATCGATGTTTCTCTCTCTGTCTCTCCCCCTCCCACTCTCTCTAAAAAAAAAAAAATCAGTGGAAAAATATCCTTGTGTGAGGATTAACAACAAAAACAAAACAAAAGACAAAGACAGAAATCCTAAGTGCTCTTAGAGAAGCAGAAATAAGGAAAAGATGCGTCTGGCACAGTTCAAACTCTTACACTGGCCACCTCACCATCATCAGAAACTCCGTTTAGAGATTTATGGCCGACTCCTGAGTGTGAGTCTTGGGTGAAGGCTGGGGATCTGCATGTTCTTGAGCGTCTGCAAGGATCCTGGACACACAGGGACCCCGTGAATGCTGGCTGGGGGCTGACCTGGGCAGGTCCCTCCCTGGTGGGGCAGTCCCTTCCAGGGGGACCTCACCAACATCCATGAAAACATGCACTTCATGTAACACGACATGTCTTCCCCCCGGGCCAGTCTAGGGAAGCAGATGTCAGAGGGTGCACATGTCTGCCCATCACTCAGTGTTGGTGTAAAATACACACCTCTCTTTTCCAGTTGCCTGAGCTGGAATCTGTGGTGGGATGTAACCTTCCCTCCATCCCTAATAAATAAACATCCAACTAAAGAGCTAGAAATTTATGCAATACTAGAGGCCCAGTGCACAAAATTTGTGCACAGGGATGGGGGGCGGGTCCCTCAGCCCGGCCTGCACCCTCTCACAATCTGAGACCCCTTGGGGGATGTCCGAATGCCAGTTTAGGCCCCTCTCATAATCCGGGACTGCTGGCTCCTAACCGCTCGCCTGCCTGCCTGCCTGATTGCCCTTAACCCCTCACCTGCCTACCTGATCACCCCTAACCAACTGCCTGCCTGATTGCCCCTAATCCCTCTGCCTGCTTGCCTGATTACCTCTAACTGCTCGCCTGCCTGCCTGATTGCCCCTAACCACCTCTGCCTTGGCACCCTCTGCCGAGGCTTTGTCTGGAAGGACGTCGGAGTGATGTCTGGAAGGTCGTTCGGCTGTCCGGTCTAATTAGCATGTTACACTTTTATTATTATAGATATGTTGAGATTCATCAGTAACCCATCTGGTTCTCCACTCCCTAAAATGAATATGTAACACTTCGCTAGAGAATCATTTCAGATGAGACCTCAGACCATAACCAGGGGAAGCCTCACTTGCAAATACGCACACACACACATCCAAATGACACACATGCACACATACACGTGTACCTGTCACTCAAAGGTCTGAAAATGGGTACCTTTTAACAATGATCCTAAAACTTTTGGGGATTTTTAAAAATAAATCTTGTATTATCTCTGTCAAAAATGAACTTTCAAAAATGTTTTAAAAGTATAATAGACATTTTAAATCCAACCACCACCCTGGTTAAAACGGCGTCGGAAATATTGTCACATTGCTAAAGGGTCTCACCCTTGAAAATGGGCATTGCTGCTCCTCAGGTTCAGTTATAAGACGTGGTGAGCCTGACTTCCTAGCCTCTGGGGCAATGGGAAGTTCTAGAGCCAGAACTGTGAGATGTGGAAGCTGGTACCCAGGCCCCTCCTCTCCCTGGGTGAGCCTGCAGCCAAGTTAGGAGAGTCCCCGCTCCTGGGTGGCCGCAGCCGTGAGCGGGAGGGTCCCTCGGCCACACTGCTCAGCTCCCGGTGCCCCTCGGCCCTGGGTCTGCGGCATCCCTATCCCAGCCACGCCATCTTCTTTGTGGATTCTGCAGCACACAGGCCTCCCCTGAGCCACTTCCAGGCGGCTGGCTTTAAAACGTCAGTTTTCACAAAGATTGCTTTCCTAATTCTGCCCACAAGCACAAATAACTAAAGTCAGGATTTTAAACACACACACACACACACACACACACACACACACACAAATTGAAAAGAAATTGTCTGCCAAATTTGAGCCAATAGTGTGACTATAAATCATGTGTTTGTTATACCAACAATGTCAGACTGAAGTGAGCCCTTTTCTTTGAACATGTGGGTCTCGGGGGGGCGGGCGTCTAACTTTGTTTTCTGGAACAATTGAATTGAAATCTGGGGGTTTTCTCTCTGTTGAAGGAAACAAACAAAACAAGGCTTGAGAGTCTGAGGGGTCTAGTTCTCTTTCTGGGAGGTGTTAGCGGGACCCCAGGCTGAAATCTCGGCCCCCATCGTGTAACCTGTCCCCGCTTCCCCGCAGGTCCTGTCCTACCACGCCTCGGCCGCGGAGGAGGAGACCCGGGAGCTGCAGGCCTTAGCGGTAATGACGGGCGGCACAGCGCGGTCATCCACACACACGCCTTTCCCGGGGATCTGCTCCCACCAGTAACGGTGGGAGACATTCAGCCAATGTGGCGGGTAGTTAGAGGGACGCTCACAAATATTCGATCAACCCATTTCCTGCAGGGCTGCAGTCACCGGTGATGCAAAGCAGAGAGAATAACTCCAATGGACCTTGTCCTCCATTCGATGATTCTGGGTTTTTCTAATAATTGTTCTCATCTTTACATCTAGCTGAGGCCAACATTAAACTCCGTTTCAGTTCCTGGGGGAAGCGGCCGGGCAGCTGCAACGTGGTTGTCCGGTTGGGGTCGGGGTGACGAGGTGTCGTGGTTTGTTACTGAGTCCCTGCCCCGTGTTCTTGAGGAGCAAGCGATTTGCATTCCGACCACATGGCTTGAGGCTGTTTGAATTGGGCTCCCAGGGGCCTGTGCCTGACTTCTCCTTGCTTCCCTCCAGTGAGGGGGGAGAGAGCGCCTGGGCTGGGGCTGGGATGCCGTGCGTTCTGGGTTTTGACGGGGATGGTCTTGGTTGAAGTCCATGCAGGTCTGAGGCATTTACACCTTGGCAGCCACACTGGCCTCCTAAGTTTAAATTTGAGACCTCAGGGATCCGGTCGGTGTGAGATGTGACGAGGGTCAGGTAAGGAACGAGAAGGGCGTGGCCAGTCACCGAGGTTCTCTGTCGAGGTCATCAGCATCTCAACTGCCAAACCCCAGCCCTCTGAGCGGTCCCTGCGTTTTCCCTGTGACTGTACAGCTGTGCCACGGAGGCCTCGCTGAACCTAGAGAGGCCGTGGCTGGTCAGGGTCTCCGTGGCTGGCTCCTAGCTGGCTCAGGGTAGCCTTGGCTGGCTCAGGGTTACTGTGGCTGGTCAGGGTTGCCGTGGCTGGCTCAGGGTCACTGTGACAGGAAGTGGAGCCAGGACACACAGTGCACCCCCAGGGCCGTGCACAGTCCATGGCGCTACCTGTGAGGCAGAGAGAAGGCGGGTGAGCCTGATGAGAAGGATGGCGCCTGAATAACCAAGCGGGAATGGGAAGGAGGAGGGCCGGCCGATGTGGTTTAGAACGTGGGACAGTGAGGCTGCGGGACCCCTGATGGATATGGACACTCAGGAACGACCAGCTGGAGGGTGAGGGCTGGGGCTCCCACGGAGGCCGCGGTCTGGGGGTGGCCCTGGATTCTCAACGTCCACAGCGTGGTTTCCTGTGTGGGGCCGTGGGTGAGCAGGTTTCCTGTGCGGGGCGGTGGGAGGGCAGGTTTCCCGTGCGGGGCGGTGGGAGAGCAGGTTTCCCGTGTGGGGCGGTGGGAGAGCAGGTTTCCTGTGCGGGACGGTGGGAGGGCAGGTTTCCCGTGCAGTGCTGGGCGGTGGGAGAGCAGGTTTCCCGTGCGGGGCGGTGGGAGAGCAGGTTTCCTGTGTGGGGCGGTGGGTGAGCAGGTTTCCCGTGCGGGGCGGTGGGAGAGCAGGTTTCCCGTGCTGGGCGGTGGGAGAGCAGGTTTCCCGTGCTGGGCGGTGGGAGAGCAGGTTTCCGGTGCGGGGCGGTGGGAGAGCAGGTTTCCCGTGCTGGGCGGTGGGAGAGCAGGTTTCCCGTGCGGGGCGGTGGGAGAGCAGGTTTCCTGTGCGGGGCGGTGGGAGAGCAGGTTTCCCGTGCGGGGCGGTGGGAGAGCAGGTTTCCCGTGCGGGGCGGGGCGGTGGGAGAGCAGGTTTCCCGTGCAGTGCGGGGCGGTGGGAGAGCAGGTTTCCCGTGCAGTGCGGGGCGGTGGGAGAGCAGGTTTCCTGTGCGGGGCGGTGGGTGAGCAGGTTTCCCGTGCGGGGCGGTGGGTGAGCAGGTTTCCCGTGCGGGGCGGTGGGAGAGCAGGTTTCCCGTGCGGGGCGGTGGGAGAGCAGGTTTCCCGTGCGGGGCGGTGGGAGAGCAGGTTTCCCGTGCGGGGCGGGGCGGTGGGAGAGCAGGTTTCCTGTGCAGTGCGGGGCGGTGGGAGAGCAGGTTTCCCGTGCTGGGCGGTGGGAGAGCAGGTTTCCCGTGCGGGGCGGTGGGAGAGCAGGTTTCCCGTGCTGGGCGGTGGGAGAGCAGGTTTCCCGTGCTGGGCGGTGGGAGAGCAGGTTTCCCGTGCGGGGCGGTGGGAGAGCAGGTTTCCCGTGCGGGGCGGTGGGAGAGCAGGTTTCCCGTGCGGGGCGGTGGGAGAGCAGGTTTCCCGTGCTGGGCGGTGGGAGAGCAGGTTTCCCGTGCGGGGCGGTGGGAGAGCAGGTTTCCCGTGCGGGGCGGTGGGAGAGCAGGTTTCCCGTGCGGGGCGGTGGGAGAGCAGGTTTCCCGTGCGGGGCGGTGGGAGAGCAGGTTTCCCGTGCTGGGCGGTGGGAGAGCAGGTTTCCCGTGCTGGCGGTGGGAGAGCAGGTTTCCCGTGCGGGGCGGTGGGAGAGCAGGTTTCCCGTGCGGGGCGGTGGGAGAGCAGGTTTCCCGTGCGGGGCGGTGGGAGAGCAGGTTTCCCGTGCTGGGCGGTGGGAGAGCAGGTTTCCCGTGCGGGGCGGTGGGAGAGCAGGTTTCCCGTGCGGGGCGGTGGGAGAGCAGGTTTCCCGTGCGGGGCGGTGGGAGAGCAGGTTTTCCCGTGCGGGGCGGTGGGAGAGCAGGTTTCCTGTGCGGGGCGGTGGGAGGGCAGGTTTCCTGTGCTGGGCGGTGGGAGAGCAGGTTTCCTGTGCTGGGCGGTGGGAGAGCAGGTTTCCCGTGCAGTGCGGGGCGGTGGGAGAGCAGGTTTCCTGTGCTGGGCGGTGGGAGAGCAGGTTTCCTGTGTGGGGCGGTGGGTGAGCAGGTTTCCCGTGCAGTGCGGGGCGGTGGGAGAGCAGGTTTCCTGTGCTGGGCGGTGGGAGAGCAGGTTTCCTGTGTGGGGCGGTGGGAGAGCAGGTTTCCCGTGCAGTGCGGGGCGGTGGGAGAGCAGGTTTCCTGTGCTGGGCGGTGGGAGAGCAGGTTTCCTGTGCGGGGCGGTGGGAGGGCAGGTTTCCCGTGCGGGGCGGTGGGAGGGCAGGTTTCCCGTGTGGGGCGGTGGGAGAGCAGGTTTCCTGTGCTGGGCGGTGGGAGAGCAGGTTTCCTGTGTGGGGCGGTGGGAGAGAGGGTTCCCGTGCGGGGCGGTGGGAGAGCAGGTTTCCCGTGCGGGGCGGTGGGAGAGCAGGTTTCCCGTGCGGGGCGGTGGGAGAGCAGGTTTCCCGTGCTGGGCGGTGGGAGAGCAGGTTTCCCGTGCTGGGCGGTGGAAGAGCAGGTTTCCCGTGCGGGGCGGTGGGAGAGCAGGTTTCCCGTGCGGGGCGGTGGGAGAGCAGGTTTCCCGTGCTGGGCGGTGGGAGAGCAGGTTTCCCGTGCGGGGCGGTGGGAGAGCAGGTTTCCCGTGCGGGGCGGTGGGAGAGCAGGTTTCCCGTGCTGGGCGGTGGGAGAGCAGGTTTCCCGTGCGGGGCGGTGGGAGAGCAGGTTTCCCGTGCGGGGCGGTGGGAGAGCAGGTTTCCCGTGCTGGGCGGTGGGAGAGCAGGTTTCCCGTGCGGGACGGGGCGGTGGGAGAGCAGGTTTCCCGTGCGGGGCGGGGCGGTGGGAGAGCAGGTTTCCTGTGCTGGGCGGTGGGAGAGCAGGTTTCCCGTGCAGTGCGGGGCGGTGGGAGAGCAGGTTTCCTGTGCTGGGCGGTGGAGGGCAGGTTTCCCGTGCAGTGCGGGGCGGTGGGAGGGCAGGTTTCCTGTGCGGGGCGGTGGGAGAGCAGGTTTCCTGTGCTGGGCGGTGGGAGAGCAGGTTTCCTGTGCGGGGCGGTGGGAGAGCAGGTTTCCTGTGCGGGGCGGTGGAGGGCAGGTTTCCCGTGCGGGCGGTGGGAGGGCAGGTTTCCCGTGCGGGGCGGTGGGAGGGCAGGTTTCCCGTGCGGGGCGGTGGGAGAGCAGGTTTCCCGTGCTGGGCGGTGGGAGAGCAGGTTTCCCGTGCTGGGCGGTGGGAGAGCAGGTTTCCCGTGCGGGGCGGTGGGAGAGCAGGTTTCCCGTGCGGGGCGGTGGGAGAGCAGGTTTCCCGTGCGGGGCGGTGGGAGAGCAGGTTTCCCGTGCGGAGCGGTGGGAGAGCAGGTTTCCCGTGCGGGGCGGTGGGAGAGCAGGTTTCCCGTGCGGGGCGGTGGGAGAGCAGGTTTCCCGTGCGGGGCGGTGGGAGAGCAGGTTCCCCTGGGGGGCGGTGGGAGAGCAGGTTTCCCGTGCTGGGCGGTGGGAGAGCAGGTTTCCCGTGCGGGGCGGTGGGAGAGCAGGTTTCCCGTGCGGGGCGGTGGGAGAGCAGGTTTCCCGTGCGGGGCGGTGGGAGAGCAGGTTTCCCGTGCTGGGCGGTGGGAGAGCAGGTTTCCCGTGCAGTGCGGGGCGGTGGGAGAGCAGGTTCCTGTGGCTGGGCGGTGGGAGAGCAGGTTTCCCGAGCGGGGCGGTGGGAGAGCAGGTTTCCCGTGCTGGGCGGTGGGAGAGCAGGTTTCCCGTGCGGGGCGGTGGGAGAGCAGGTTTCCCGTGCGGGGCGGTGGGAGAGCAGGTTTCCCGTGCGGGGCGGTGGGAGAGCAGGTTTCCCGTGCGGGGCGGTGGGAGCGCAGGTTTCCTGTGCGGGGCGGGGCGGTGGGAGAGCAGGTTTCCCGTGCAGTGCGGGGCGGTGGGAGAGCAGGTTTCCCGTGCGGGGCGGTGGGAGAGCAGGTTTCCCGTGCGGGGCGGTGGGAGAGCAGGTTTCCCGTGCGGGGCGGTGGGAGAGCAGGTTTCCCGTGCGGGGCGGTGGGAGAGCAGGTTTCCCGTGCGGGGCGGTGGGAGAGCAGGTTTCCTGTGCGGGGCGGTGGGAGGGCAGGTTTCCTGTGCTGGGCGGTGGGAGAGCAGGTTTCCTGTGCTGGGCGGTGGGAGAGCAGGTTTCCCGTGCAGTGCGGGGCGGTGGGAGAGCAGGTTTCCTGTGCTGGGCGGTGGGAGAGCAGGTTTCCTGTGTGGGGCGGTGGGTGAGCAGGTTTCCCGTGCGGG